AACGTGAGCCAAAATAAAATGCCCATGCATGTACTGATGAAAACTCGAGAAAACGAGCTGATAAGCTTTTCGAAAGCATGGCTTTGTAGAATACAAAAAGTAGAACTTCGAAAAATGTTACTCGAGCTTTGGTATATGGGTACTCTGAAATAGCCAAAACCTTTTCGAGTGATTCCGTGTTATAAGTAATTTGTCATTATTTGTAAACTTTAACTATAACTAACAATAAATCAAGGAATGTCCATAAAACATGTTTATAGTAATAAAAAAGTTGTTAGTTTATATTTTATAAAAGTTTAGTCACCTTTTCTTACTACAAAAAAACATTAAACGGATACAGAAATAGATGTGCACCCTGTGTGTCCAACATTTATTTGCGATTAATGACCAATTCAATTACAGATTAATGTGACATAAAAAATAAAATGTTTCTCATATAAGTCATTATGATCACATGAAATGTTTTTTTTTTATTTTATTAAAGTACTTTACTTGATGTAATATTGAAAGGGTAATGTTTACCACAATTTCCCACGTTTACTAATTACTATGCTTTTAACAATTAAAATGTTATTCATTGAAAGTTTCTCCTTGAAACTTATGCTTCCACGCCTATCTCCCCCGAACCCAACCTCAAAGCATGAAACATGACGGTACCTATTTTCAATATTTTTAATTTACAAATAGCACCTAAATACATAAGCAATGGATTACGCTACTTGAAGATGTGTATCAATATCATTTGCGCCTATTTGCAGTCTGTAGTTCAGATTTCTGTCCGGAATGGCTTTTTATTTGATTTTGCGTTTTCCACTTTTTTTATGTATTTGCTTAAGCAATTAATATTTGGCATATTCGCAGTTAACCATCTTATAACTTTATTTTAAATAAGCATTCTTGAACTGTTACATTTCTTCAATTGTATTTTTTTTTTCAACAATCAACGACAACCATTGAATTACAGGTTCCTGACCTGGGACAGTCACAAATTTTATATGGCAGGGTTACACATGTTTGTTAGCGCTCTTCTCTCCTTCTAGCACTGAAGACATGATATACTATAGAAGATATTGTTTGTCTGTCTTACTCAACTATTGAACCATACGGTTATTGTCATATAACATATGTGAAGTCAAGTAGAAACTACTCTGTGCTGTCAATATGGTCAAACCCCAAGGGTTGTCCTAGATATAGAAATATGGTCAAGCATGGAGTCCTCCCTTGTAATATCAGCAGTAATACTCTTGCTAAAGTGGGATTTCCGTTTGGTTGTGCATCCCGGTATGTATAAATACACAGTCACGTCCGGTCGGAATGGACGCACTGAATACGTTGTCTTATGTAGGGTGAGTGACACGCTCTCTCCTTGAAAAGGAACCCTTGCAACAACTCTCTGCGGACTAACTATATAGTTGGCGTAGTGTAAGGTAAAATGTTCTGCTCTATATATCATTGATACCTTCATTTTTTAGCGGCGGTCCACATTTTCTGCCCTTCATTAGGGTCTACCTAGATGACAGAGCCAACATCAGTATTGTAGTATATTAGTATCGAACATTTTGGCTAAGTGTAAAAGGAAACAGAAAAAAAATCAGATGATTATCTCTATAAGGAATTTGTAACCAAGGAAGCTTTTATATGGGTTAACCATCATCATCGCGAGCTTAGAGTAAAGACTAAACAGTCCAACAGCAAAGGCATTGATCCAAAGTACTTAATAAAATAAATACAGGGTTACGCCAATGATACTGATTAGCTCGTTAGGTGAAGTTGCATAAGGTTTTTCTTTCTACAATCGATGAAATTAACTGGTAACAAACGCAATTAAATTTATCTGATTATTTTTTTTATATACATAATTTTGCAAAGATTTACATAGAAGAATCAATTTCATCAAATTAACACCAAAAAGAATTATGCAACTTCCTTAACCTGAACATTTTAAATTTTGTTTACAGGAACGATGATTTAAAAAAATTTATATATTAGAGCATTGCATTTGCCGGAATATACAACTGTTAGCGTGCACTTGTTGCAAAATTGAACATGACGGGGAAAAAAGAAACCAGACTAAAAAATCAAAAGCAACGATAATATCCGATTCACAGGAACGAGAATGCAGTATTCAGTGACAAATAATACGAATACGAATACGATATCACTGAATTAAAGCTTATTTAGATAATTCTTCCTTCTTAGTTTCATGACCTGTTCTTCCTTGGGTATAGTTACCTCAGCTAGTTTGGGTAATTCTTTCTCGGTTGTATACAACCAAAAAGAGGAGCAGGAACATTGACTCTCAGAGTACCCGAGGTAACCCCAGATAATTAGGTGTGTTCGTGTTGCTCATCTTTAGGTTTACAGTGTTTATTTTGTGGACTATTGATGGTCCGTTCGTCTTTATTTTCATTATAAATGGAGGAAGTATAAAGAATCAGATATACTGTGACATTATTAGAATGATCTTCTAGACCTATTTTAAGTACATTCAGATGCTAGGTTTTTCATAATCCGTAGGGATTCCGTTAGGTATGAATTGCAGTTGTCACTACATGTATACATATGCCTATAAACCCTACTATGTCTTTGTTGTTGCAGTATGTTCTGGCAACTAGACATACGTTTCTGACTGACCACACTATAGGTACATTTTAATCAGAGGATCAAATAATTCTTGTATTTGTGGAGCCGAAATGTCGGAACATATGATCACAAATACCATGTTATGTCAGACTATATAAGCCTAAATATAACCGTGTTTCCAAGAGATCTGAAACGTCTAATAAAATTATTTTTCCGAAATTTGCGAAAGATGTGTTATAATGTTTCACTACAAAAATATAATGTCGAGGAGATCTTTATATATTTATTGGTATTGCCTTTTAAGGATGTCAATGTGCCGTGGGATTGTGTAGTTAATTTCTTTACGTATACTGTAAATTCAGAAATTATTGCGATGTTTTTATTATTGCGAAAAATGCGACAGGGTTATAATAGCAATAATTTGAACTTGCATTTTGAAATTTTTTATATGAATTAAACAGGATTTTTCTCAATATCGCAAAAATTAAAATCGCATTTTAGTCTAAAATGAGAAAATCGCAATAATAAATGCACGCAATAATTTCTGAATTTACTCATTTTAGACTAAAATGCGATTTTAATTTTTGCGATATTGAGAAAAATCTGTGAAATCTCTAATTGCATTGACCATCTTTTAAGAAACCTGACTCAAGCTATCGAACAATTGTAGCGAACAATTAGCTAGCGAACAATTAGGAGGTATAACTAAAAACCACAATATCACATAAGGTTATCACGTTTTTTCGAGCTAGCGAACAATTATGAGAATACATACAATCTTATACAAAAACGAAAAAACTAACTTAAAACAACAGGGAAACCATACTTCATATATAAAGAATACAAAGCTTTTCTTTCCTAACTAAATAAATCCACATAAGGCATTCAATAGACAGCTGGATTACAATGACCATAAGTTAACACAATGACACAATGCATTTTTAGGGAATGGGGGTGCACTTTACGTTGTTTGGTCCGATTAATAGAGATTGTGACAGGTTAGGCTATATAGGTGTTTAAGAGGTGATAGTGCCGCATAGTTTAGGAAAATTTCCAGAGTGGTTTATGTTCGAAAATCTTAAATTGTGGTAGAAAAAAACTGAAATTAACAAAATGAAATTTGGGTATAGGACATTTTAAGTTAATTTTTGACCAATTTGAATAGATTGTTACAGGCAACGACTATATAGTTGTTTTAGAGGAGACATTTCTGCATCGTTTAGGAAAATCTCCAGAGAGGTTTATGTTCGAAAATCTGAAATTACGGTAAAAAAACTGAAATTGACAAAATAAGATTAGGGGGGTAGGGCACTAAAAGAAAAATTTGGACCATTTTAAAGAGATTGTGACGGACAACAACTATATAGGTGTTGTAGAGGAGACAATGACGCATCGTTTAAGAAAATATCCAGAGTGGTTTATGTTCGAAAATCTGAACTTACGGTTAAAAAACTGAAATTGTGAAATTGACAAAATGAGATTAGGGGGTATGCATATTTAAGTTAATTTTGGATCATCTTAAAGAGATTGTGACGGGCAACGACTATATAGGTGTTGTAGAGGAGACAATGGCGCATCGTTTAAGAAAATCTCCAGAGTGGTTTATGTTCGAAAATCTGAAGTTACGGTTAAAAAACTGAAATTGTGAAATTGACAAAATGAGGTTAGGGGGGTAGGCCAATTTAAGTTAATTTTGGACCAATTTCAAGAGATTGTGACGGGCAACGACCATATGGATGTTGTAGAGGAGACAATGGCGCATCGTTTAAGAAAATATCCAGAGTGGTTTATGTTCGAAAATCTGAACTTACGGTTAAAAAACTGAAATTGTGAAATTGACAAAATGAGATTAGGGGGTATGCATATTTAAGTTAATTTTGGATCATCTTAAAGAGATTGTGACGGGCAACGACTATATAGGTGTTGTAGAGGAGACAATGGCGCGTCGTTTAAGAAAATCTCCAGAGTGGTTTATGTTCGAAAATCTGAAGTTACGGTTAAAAAACTGAAAATTTTATTGTGAAATTGACAAAATGAGATTAGGGGGGTAGGGCACAAAAGAAAAATTAGGACCATTTTAAAGAGATTGTGACGGACAACGACTATATAGGTGTTGTAGACGAAACAATGGCGCATCGTTTAAGAAAATCTCCAGAGTGGTTTATGTTCGAAAATCTGAAGCTACGGTTAAAAAACTGAAATTGTGAAATTGACAAAATGAGATTAGGGGGGTAGGCCAATTTAAGTTAATTTTGGACCAATTTTAAGAGACTGTGACGGAGAACGACTATATAGGTGTTGTATAGGAGACATTGGCGCATCGTTTAAGAAAATCTCCAGAGTGATTTATGTTCGAAAATCTGAAGTTACGGTTAAAAAACTGAAATTGTAAAATTGACAAAATGAGATAAGGGGGGTAGGCCAATTTCAATTAATTTTGGACCAATTTCAAGAGATTGTGACGGGCAACGACTATATAGGTGTTGTAGAGGAGACAATGGCGCATCGTTTAAGAAAATCTCCAGAGCGGTTTATGTTCGAAAATCTGAAGTTACGATTAAAAAACTGAAACTTTTATTGTGAAATTGACAAAATGAGATTAGGGGGGTAGGGCAATTTAAGTTAATTTTGGACCAATTTTAAGAGATTGTGACGGGCAACGACTATATAGGTGTTGTAGACGAAACAATGGCGCATCGTTTAAGAAAATATCCAGAGTGGTTAATGTTCGAAAATCTGAAGTTACGGTTAAAAAACTGAAATTGTGAAATTGACAAAATGAGATAAGTGGGATAGGCCAATTTAAATTAATTTTGGACCAATTTCAAGAGATTGTGACGGGCAACGACTATAAAGGTGTTGTAGAGGAAACAATGGCGCATCGTTTAAGAAAATCTCCAGAGTGGTTTATGTCGAAAATCTGAAGTTACGGTTAAAAAACTGAAATTGTAAAATTGACAAAATGAGATAAGGGGGGTAGGCCAATTTCAATTAATTTTGGACCAATTTCAAGAGATTGTGACGGGCAACGACTATATAGGTGTTGTAGAGGAGACAATGGCGCATCGTTTAAGAAAATCTCCAGAGCGGTTTATGTTCGAAAATCTGAAGTTACGATTAAAAAACTGAAACTTTTATTGTGAAATTGACAAAATGAGATTAGGGGGGTAGGGCAATTTAAGTTAATTTTGGACCAATTTTAAGAGATTGTGACGGGCAACGACTATATAGGTGTTGTAGACGAAACAATGGCGCATCGTTTAAGAAAATATCCAGAGTGGTTAATGTTCGAAAATCTGAAGTTACGGTTAAAAAACTGAAATTGTGAAATTGACAAAATGAGATAAGTGGGATAGGCCAATTTAAATTAATTTTGGACCAATTTCAAGAGATTGTGACGGGCAACGACTATATAGGTGTTGTAGAGGAGACAATGGCGCATCGTTTAAGAAAATCTCCAGAGTGGTTTATGTCGAAAATCTGAAGTTACGATTAAAAAACTGAAACTTTTATTGTGAAATTGACAAAATGAGATTAGGGGGGTAGGGCAATTTAAGTTAATTTTGGACCAATTTTAAGAGATTGTGACGGGCAACGACTATATAGGTGTTGTAGAGGAAACAATGGCGCATCGTTTAAGAAAATATCCAGAGTGGTTTATGTTCGAAAATCTGAAGTTACGGTTAAAAAACTGAAATTGTGAAATTGAGAAAATGAGATAAGTGGGGTCGGCCAATTTAAATTAATTTTGGACCAATTTCAAGAGATTGTGACGGGCAACGACTATATATGTATTGTAGAAGAGACAATGGCGCATTGTTTAAGAAAATCTCCAGAGTGGTTTATGTTCGAAAATCTGAAGTTACGATTAAAAAACTGAAACTTTTATTGTGAAATTGACAAAATGAGATTAGGGGGTAGGGCAATTTAAGTTAATTTTGGACCAATTTCAAGAGATTGTGACGGGCAACGACTATATAGGTGTTGTAGAGGAAACAATGGCGCATCGTTTAAGAAAATCTCCAGAGTGGTTTATGTTCGAAAATCTGAAGTTACGATTAAAAAACTGAAACTTTTAATGTGAAATTGACAAAATGAGATTAGGGGGGTAGGGCAATTTAAGTTAATTTTGGACCAATTTCAAGAGATTGTGACGGGCAACAACTATATAGGTGTTGTAGAAAAAACAATGGCGCATCGTTTAAGAAAATCTCCTGAGTGGTTTATGTTCGAAAATCTGAAGTTACGGTTAAAAAACTGAAAATTTTATTGTGAAATTGACAAAATGAGATTAAGGGGGTAGGGCACTAAAAGAAAAATGTGGACCATTTTAAAGAGATTGTGACGGGCAACGACTATATAATTGTTATAGAGGAGACATTGGCGCATCGTTTAAGAAAATCTCCTGAGTGGTTTATGTTCGAAAATCTGAAGTTACGGTTAAAAAACTGAAACTTTTATTGTGAAATTGACAAAATGAGATTAGGGGGGTAGGGCACAAAAAGAAAAATTAGGACCATTTTAAAGAGATTGTGACGGACAACGACTATAAAGATGTTGTAGAGGAGATAATGACGCATCGTTCGTTTAAGAAAATCTCCAGAGTGGTTTATGTTCGAAAATCTGAAGTTACGATTAAAAAACTGAAACTTTTATTGTGAAATTGACAAAATGAGATTAGGGGGTAGGGCAACTTAAGTTAATTTTGAACCAATTTCAAGAGATTGTGACGGGCAACGACTATATAGGTGTTGTAGACGAAACAATGGTGCATCGTTTAAGAAAATCTCCAGAGTGGTTTATGTTCGAAAATCTGAAGTTACGGTTAAAAAACTGAAAATTTTATTGTGAAATTGACAAAATGAGATTAAGGGGGTAGGGCACTAAAAGAAAAATTTGGACCATTTTGAAGAGATTGTGACGGGCAACGACTATATAGGTGTTGTAGAGGAGACATTGGCGCATCGTTTAAGAAAATCTCCTGAGTAGTTTATGTTCGAAAATCTGAAGTTACGGTTAAAAAACTGGAATTTTTTTTGTGAAATTGACAAAATGAGATTAGTGGGGTAGGGCACAAAAAGAAAAATTAGGACCATTTTAAAGAGATTGTGACGTACAACGACTATATAGGTGTTGTAGAGGAAACAATGGCGCATCGTTAAAGAAAATCTCAAGAGTGGTTTATGTTCGAAAATCTGAAACTACGGTTAAAAAACTGAAAATTTTATTGTGAAATTGAAAAAATGAGATTAAGGGGGTAGGGCACTAAAAGAAAAATGTGGACCATTTTAAAGAGATTGTGACGGGCAACGACTATATAAGTGTTGTAGAGGAGACAATGGCGCATCGTTTAAGAAAATCTCCTGAGTGGTTTATGTTCGAAAATCTGAAGTTACGGTTAAAAAACTGAAACTTTTATTGTGAAATTGACAAAATGAGATTAGGGGGGTAGGGCAACTTAAGTTAATTTTGGACCAATTTTAAGAGATTGTGACGGGCAACGACTATATAGGTGTTGTAGAGGAGACAATGGCACATCGTTTAAGAAAATCTCCATAGTGGTTTATGTTCGAAAATCTGAAGTTACGGTTAAAAAACTGAAATTGTGAAATTGACAAAATGAGATAAGGGGGGTAGGCCAATTTAAGTTAATTTTGTACCAATTTCAAGAGATTGTGACGGGCAAAGACTATATAGGTGTTGTAGAGGAGACAATGGCGCATTGTTTAAGAAATTATCCAGAGTGGTTTATGTTCGGACATTTGAAGTTACGGTTAAAAAACTGAAAATTTTATTGTGAAATTGACAAAATGAGATTAGGGGGGGGCAGGGCAACTTAAGTTAATTTTGGACCAATTTTAAGAGATTGTGACGGGCAACGACTATATAGGTGTTGTAGAGGAGACAATGGCGCATCGTTTAAGAAAATCTCCTGAGTGGTTTATGTTCGAAAATCTGAAGTTACGGTTAAAAAACTGAAAATTTTATTGTGAAATTGACAAAATAAGATTAGGGGGGTAGGGCAACTTAAGTTAATTTTGGACTAATTTTAAGAGATTGTGACGGGCAACGACTATAAAGGTGCTGTAGAGGAGACAATGGCGCATCGTTTAAGAAAATCTCCATAGTGGTTTATGTTCGAAAATCTGAAGTTACGATTAAAAAACTGAAACTTTTATTGTGAAATTGACAAAATGAGATTAGGGGGGTAGGGCAATTTAAGTTAATTTTGGACCAATTTCAAGACATTGTGACAGGCAACGACTATATAGGTGTTGTAGAGGAAACAATGGCGCATCGTTAAAGAAAATCTCCAGAGTGGTTTATGTTCGAAAATCTGAAGTTACGGTTAAAAAACTGAAAATTTTATTGTGAAATTGACAAAATGAGATTAAGGGGGTAGGGATATTTAAGTTAATTTTGGACCTATTTCAAGAGATTGTGACGGGCAACGACTATATAGGTGTTGTAAAAGAGACAATGGCGCATTGTTTAAGAAATAATCCAGAGTGGTTTATGTTCGAAAATCTGAAGTTACGGTTAAAAAACTGAAAATTTTATTGTGAAATTGACAAAATGAGATTAAGGGGGTAGGGCACTAAAAGAAAAATGTGGACCATTTTAAAGAGATTGTGACGGGCAACGACTATATAAGTGTTGTAGAGGAGACAATGGCGCATTGTTTAAGAAATTATCCAGAGTGGTTTATGTTCGGACATCTGAAGTTACGGTTAAAAAACTGAAAATTTTATTGTGAAATTGACAAAATAAGATTAGGGGGGTAGGGCAACTTAAGTTAATTTTGGACTAATTTTAAGAGATTGTGACGGGCAACGACTATATAGGTGTTGTAGAGAAGACAATGGCGCATCGTTTAAGAAAATCTCCAGAGTGGTTTATGTTCGAAAATCTGAAGTTACGATTAAAAAACTGAAACTTTTATTGTGAAATTGACAAAATGAGATTAGTGGGGTAGGGCAATTTAAGTTAATTTTGGACCAATTTCAAGAGATTGTGACGGGCAACGACTATATAGGTGTTGTAGAGAAAACAATGGCGCATCGTTTAAGAAAATCTCCAGAGTGGTTTATGTTCGAAAATCTGAAGCTACGGTTAAAAAACTGAAAATTTTATTGTGAAATTGAAAAATGAGATTAAGGGGGTAGGGCACTAAAAGAAAAATGTGGACCATTTTAAAGAGATTGTGACGGGCAACGACTATATAAGTGTTGTAGAGGAGACATTGGCGCATCGTTTAAGAAAATCTCCTGAGTGGTTTATGTTCGAAAATCTGAAGTTACGGTTAAAAAACTGAAACTTTTATTGTGAAATCGACAAAATGAGATTAAGGGGGTAGGGCAACTTAAGTTAATTTTGGACCAATTTTAAGAGATTGTGACGGGCAACGACTATATAGGTGTTGTAGAGGAGACAATGGCACATCGTTTAAGAAAATCTCCATAGTGGTTTATGTTCGAAAATCTGAAGTTACGGTTAAAAAACTGAAATTGTGAAATTGACAAAATGAGATAAGGGGGGTAGGCCAATTTAAGTTAATTTTGTACCAATTTCAAGAGATTGTGACGGGCAAAGACTATATAGGTGTTGTACAGGAGACAATGGCGCATTGTTTAAGAAAATCTCCATAGTGGTTTATGTTCGAAAATCTGAAGTTACGGTTAAAAAACTGAAACTTTTATTGTGAAATTGACAAAATGAGATTAGGGGGTAGGGCAATTTAAGTTTATTTTGGACCAATTTCAAGAGATTGTGACGGGCAACGACTATATAAGTGTTGTAGAGGAAACAATGGCGCATCGTTTAAGAAAATCTCCTGAGTGGTTTATGTTCGAAAATCTGAAGTTACGATTAAAAAACTGAAACTTTTAATGTGAAATTGACAAAATGAGATTAGGGGGGTAGGGCAATTTAAGTTTATTTTGGACCAATTTCAAGAGATTGTGACGGACAACGACTATATAGGTGTTGTAGACGAGACAATGGCGCATCGTTTAAGAAAATATCCAGAGTGGTTTACTGTGGATTCATTTTTTTTCGTTGGATACCAATTTTCGTGGATTTCGTGGGAACAGGGGAACCACGAATTTATATGTTCAACGAATTACAAATTTTCCATAAGCTTGTATGCAGAATTGAGCAAAACCACGAAATTAAATATCCACGAATGTGTAAGTTTTCCTCAATCCACTAAAATTGATACCCACGAAAATAAATGAATCCACAGTATGTTCGAAAATCTGAAGTTACGGTTAAAAATCTGAAATTGTGAAATTGACAAAATTAGATTAGGGGGTAGGCCAATTTAAGTTAATTTTGGACCTATTTCAAGAGATTGTGACGGGCAACGACTATATAGGTGTTGTAAAAGAGACAATGGCGCATTGTTTAAGAAATAATCCAGAGTGGTTTATGTTCGAAAATCTGAAGTTACGGTTAAAAAACTGAAAATTTTATTGCGAAATTGACAAAATGAGATTAAGGGGGTAGGGCACTAAAAGGAAATTTTGGACCACTTCAAAGAAATTGTGACGGGCAACGACTATATAGGTGTTGTAGAGGAGACATTGGCGCATCGTTTAAGAAAATCTCCAGAGTGGTTTATGTTCGAAAATCTGAAGTTACGGTTAAAAAACTGAAAATTTTATTGTGAAATTGACAAAATGAGATTAGGGGGGGTAGGGCACTAAAAGGAAATTTTG